TCGTTTTCTATCTTCCTCCGCGTCGGGAACAACCATGTTTTATGGATGCACTCTCGCGATGCTATCGCTTTTTGAATATTTATTCGTTTATTTATATTGATCGGAATTGCCAGAAACTCATTGGTGTAAAACATGGCATGATTCTCACGAGACATTGCTTTCTATTACAGTTATTATATTGCTCGTACTTTTAAATTGAAATCCATATTATGTTTTCGAAAACGCAGGAAAAAACATTCGTTTTTATTTTTTTGGAAACATTTCTTTTAATTTATTACATAATGAAATTACTCGCCGTAGGTATATCAACGAGATCGACATTACGGTTTTATCTATTCGGTTGTAATTTACAGTGGCTGAGACGAACAGATATGCAAATCGAGAACTGATTTAGAATCAGTCATCTGTGGAAGTTGACTGTGAATTATTCCGGAAGTTAAACGCTCGACGATGCGAATAAAGGCGATCTCGTTGGCAGAACTCAAAATGTGGGTCATAGAAAGTTACGCGAGGAAAGTGGCTCGCGATTTTAATTTAAGTTATTGGTTTATGCATGTAAGTTAAGACAGGAAAGAGTAGCTCCTTGTGCATTTCAAAATGAAAATTTTGACTCAAATTCGGCCAATTATTTCGCATTTATAGTGAAACACAACAAGTAAATAAAATAAAATAAAATGACAGAGCAATAATATAAAGATATAAAATCGAAGTATACTTACAATTAGATATATATAAATACAAATAAGTTATATGCAGTACAAAGTGATAAAAATGTTTGAGATAAAAATATATAATTTTATATTATGCAATAAAAGTAGTTTATTAATGTATTTGCCTATATGTTTCTAAAGTTTCTATTAAAGATGTATGTGTGTGTGTGTATGTAGCTTCTTTAAATAGAATACATATTGCATATAATATGGTATAACAAAATTTCTCTTGTCTTTCTATGTTATAGCATTGCAAAATGTACGAAGAGGCATATTACTGAAAGATTATTAGGTGTGCTACCTTTGATGCAAATACCCTTATCAGATAAGAGAATAAAAAGCAATGAATTTTGAGAAGAAAAACGCTTTCTTATGGTATTATATTGATTTGTGAATTAAGATTGCAAAATCGCTATAGCTATTAACGTAAACATTAATTCAATAGACGAGACTTTATGAATCAGCATTTAGTCACGATTACCTTTAATTTTGGAGATCAGTGAATTAATAATTTTTAATAAATGTATGACGCAGACGAAGTCAAGCTAAAGAGAAGTGACTAATATGGCATCAATTTATATTACGGTCTTATATTGCGTCACAGAATTTCGTACATTCTGTCGTTAATGGAAAGCATCGACTCATTCCAGTAAAAAACATCACGAAGACGTCATCCTGACATTGGCATTAATGGAAATTCATTCACCATGACTCATGTCTTGTATGATGTAGCCAGTTTACTTTTATTACTATTTTAAACAGGTGTGGCGTATGGAAATTCCGCTCTGCTGTTAGTCGATTTTTAACACTCTTATCCAAAATTCACCTTTTTACTGTTTAGTAATCTTTTATTAAAAATTCAAACTTGTTTAATGGTTATTATTAAATATAGAAAACATTTATTAAATTATTATAAAATCACTTTAACATTACAAAATGTTGTTCAGTTTCAAGGTTTTAAACAAAAAGTATTGTTGAATGATAGTAATAACAATAAACAATACGTTAAGATAAAATTTAAACAGCTGTGTTGTTTGAAAATTTTGTCTTTCTATTAATCAATTTTTAACGTTCTTATTCAAAATTTACCTTCTTACTTTTTATCTTAGTCTTATTTTCAACCTTATCTTAATACACCTTTTATTATTATTTTACAATATTATTCATAAAATAATATTGTAATAGCCAACATGATTTAATAATAATATAATATAATATCGATATTGTCTACATTTAATAAATATATTATCTCTATCAAACAAGTTTGAATTTTTAATATAATTAATTTAACGCATAGTAATTTGTGTGATATTATTGCAACACAAACGTTTATTTTAATTTTATAATATGTTTTCTGTAGACATTGTAAAATTCATTTTGCATGCAAAACATTTACATTAACTATACTATTTGACCCTCTTAATAGTTATTGGTAATTGCAAAATTTAAATGTTATTTAAAATTCAATACGTAAATTAACGAATGCAAAATTCTGCATGAGAATTTATGAATGTGATAACACATTCTATTGTCAACATGATTTATTGTCCGGAGTTTTCGTAATTTTTTTCAATTATTCGATGGGTATAAAAATGCACGGCGCGATGGCGCGAGATACACATTATCGTTATTCTCCCCTCAGTTTCTGGCATTTCGAGGCATTCTGTGGAGACGGCGTGGAAAAGAAAATAATATAATAGGCCACGGTCCTTGGAGGGACCGGTTGACGTAACCGGTCCACTATTTTTAACTACATCCTTTTGTTTTACTTTGTCCTGGCGCTCCCGCATCTTTATCCACGTCTTTGCACTCTTCTTCCTACTCATCCATGTAAAAAAAAAACATTCTATTGTCTTTTCTTTTTTTTGTAGATTTATTCAAAAACATTTAAGACAGTTTGGAACGAATAATACACACATATTCATAATATATGTCTATAAATTTTTGAGCAGAAAAGTTTAAGTCTTTAAAGAAAAATTTACAAACAAAGGAAAGAAAACAGAGGGCCACGTTCAAAAATTTGAGCTATTTTTTAATGCTTATTTTCGATGCTGTGAACATATAGTAAACGTTTGACAAAACTTTTTTGTGCATACGTTGATCAAAAATAGTTGGAATGTTTTATTGGAAAACATTTTGGACCAGAAATTTCAGAAACGAGCACAATGTAAACAGCTGACCAAAAAGTGTAGGCAAAAAAGTAGATAAATCCACGAATATAATAAACACAGTTAGAAACACAGTTTTCTCGATGGAAGTAGGATGGAAATAGTCAGAGAGAAAGGAATTTGTCATTTGCAAAACAGCGTTAGATGCGACCATTACGTTACCTGCGCGACAACCGTTACACGATGAATACAAACGAGAGCGTCGCGTACAGAGAGTCAATTTGCAAAGAAAATGCGTGGAATTTCTGTAAACACGTTAACTTAGTTTATATTCGTTACTGCGCGTATTGTATAATCGTAAAACCAAATCCGAAAATTGATTTCTTCTTCATTATGAGATATGTATAGACCCCTTTCTAAAAAATTATAATTTATATTTTAAGTATGACCAATAATCAGAATTGCAAATTTTTATCTCTTTTCATGGAAGTTATTCATTCCTTTAATACTTTCTATTAAGAGTTTTTCATTTAAAAGGAAAAAGGTATATTATAAGTAACCCACAACACTATTTGAAGTACAGTATGTATATTTTCAGAATAATGATAAGATGACATTGAGTTATGTAGATATAATTATATCTACATAAAATCAAATACCAATCAATAAGAGAAACGTGATTAGAATATATTTTATTAGTCATTAACTCCTTTTATGATTTGCGAATAAAATTGTGACTTGAAACTTAAGAAGATATTTGGAAAATATAGAAGTTACAAAAACTGAAGACGTATTTTATTCAACACATATTTCATTGTAAGAAATTGCATCAATCATTGTTACAACATCCCGCTATATCGTCATCTCCATCGATAGTTTATTACTCATTAAAAATAAGAAATGATGTAAAAATAATATTAAAGTCTTTTCAATTTGCCTTGGATTTATATTAGATGATTTATAATTGTTGTATTAAACAATATCCCTAAACCTTTGCAAAACATGATTTAATTTTTCATGATAATAATATCCATTTCCTAATTTGAAATTGCAATGCAAATATAATAAAATTCGTAAAAAGGTTACACAAACGAGCAATTAAATAGATCAAATATTAAAAGTAGTTTAGTAAAAAGTAAAAAAAAAAAGACTAAAACTAGTCATTAATATATAAATGTATTTTATGTTAGACATTTATCAATGAAACTGTTCAAGTTTCATTAATAAAAAATTTATCAATAAAACAGATTTTACATTTATTCTTTAAAAGGATGCTGAAGTGATCAAATTATGACATTGCAATCGTATTAAAATCTCCGAATTGACTAAATAGAATATAAAAAAAATTCTTTTCTTGGATTAAAGCAAATGTAAAATCGAAAAAAAGTTAATTTTTTTCAGTTATAATTAACTTTTTTCGATTTTAGTATAAAGTCCACTGCAGCGATCTCCTAATTTTGCGTCCACTTTAATCCTGTAAAAGAGAGGATATTTGATTCCATTTAGTCAATTCGGAGATTTTTGTACGCCTGTAATAACAATAATTTGGTCACTCCAGCATTCCTTAAACTGTTTCAAGTAAACGTGCAAAAAAAAAAGGAAGGATCTTCGGAGGTAACGTTTCCAAAACGGCCGCGTAGGGGGATGGACTGGCGCTCGGCCGTCTCCGCCGGCGTTCGGCGGCGCTCGGCGGTACTCGGCGGCGCTCGGTCGTGCAGCTACACCGCCCGGAACCGTCAGTCCCGCGCAGACTCTCGAGGTGCGGGTATATACGCTTCGTGTTCTGCTACTCTCGCTGCTTCTCCGGCGTTTTTCCCACAAACACAAGAAAGAGCTCTCGGAATCGGTGCGACGCGCACGTTGTTCCGGACACGTCGGTGTAACAGCCGCGTGTTCCGCCAAAGTACCGCGAGTGAATTCGCGTTATATCCAGAGTACAGTGGCGAATACGAACGATAGCAGAGAAAGGGCGGCGAAAGACAGGGAGAGGAGACAGGGAGTGAGTGAGAGGAGGACGGCCGGAGTGCGGCTCGTGATCGATCTCACAGTGTGTACGCGCGTCAAGGTGTTTTCTTTCCGCGTCGGCCACCCGTCGCCGATCTCTATTATGTCACCGGCCGCGCGTGCCGGTAGACCGCTCTGATTCGAGGTACTCGCAAGGCACGCAACAACGCCCGCCACGATGCTGCCGCAGACACCTGACATCATCCCGACTACGCTGAACCAGGTAAGCGGGTGGCGGTTGTGACGCGGTGAGGCTGCGGCGGCGATATACGTTTGGACCGGAGGCGCCCGGTCTCGCCGATTCAAGCCGGTTGGAATTTCGGTTGGAGTTCAAATCTTCGCAGGACGCTCGCCGCCGTGGTCTCCCCCGCGTTTTCGCTCTCGTGACGATGCTCGCACGAGCTACTCCGGATCCGAGTGCGTTTCTAGTTATTGAGGTAGTTCGATTTCCGACGGCGTTACGGGGCCACGTCCTTCGCTCCACACAGCCTGAAGTATTTCAGAAATATTTGTAAAATATATATATATATATATCGCAAGATTTGAAATATTTCGAAAATATAAATATGTCCGGGAAAATCCGAGTTTTCTCGAAATATTCTTTTCCCTACGGTATACTTGTATAATATTTTTAAAATATTGTTGCGAAATATTAATTTTGATGCAGTGTTTTAAAATATGTTTAGAAAATAGTTCTGAAGTACTTCATTGAAATATTAAAAAGAAGACTCGCATAAAAAAATATTTCATGCTTTGGCATTTCAAAAGTTGTCTGGGTACATATTGTGGAAATATTTCGATTGGAATTGTTTAATTATTTCCTAGATTTTTATTGCGTTTTCTCTTAAGTAAACGGAGTGATTCCGATCGGAATCCGCACAATTCTATAATACGTGTCCCGAACGTTAGAACGCGAGGATATCGAAGGAAGTTTTTTTTCCGACATCAGCACATATCTCGTTAATCTTTCGTGACATTGGCTACGTTTACACCGTGCACTTAGTCCGCGACCCATACGATAGGTGTTTTTGTTTAATTTACAGGATAAACAAGAACATCTATTGTTTAGGCCGCGGCCTAAATGCACGGTATAAACGTAGCCATTGTCACTCGCGATGAAAATTATTATTCTATCTAGTTCACACACTTCGCTCTATTCCATTTTTTTTTTGCCGTACTATTAACCCTTCGCCGGCAATGTTAAAACAGCTGCACACGATATTATTCCTGCTGAATTGCTCGCGTTTTAATACATTACTAGAATTGCACCACGCAGCTGAATTTTAAGTAATGCAAACTTCAAGAATTTCTAGTAATTTTTATTAAAACGCAAGTAAAATTTGACGGAGAAAAAAAACGTGCGTTGGGTGCAGCAAGCTTTAGACTTTAAAGACACATTTTTCTTTATTATTATGAATTGTAGTATAGGTTTAAATCTATAAAAGATAAATAAAATACCATCCATCGCTTCTACGACAACAAAATTTCGTTAGCTTTTATAAGTATGTAAGAATTCTTTTAGATTTTTACAATCTAGAACGATATAAAAATCTATATACACAATTGAAGTTTGACAATTTCAATAGTTTCAACATGTTGACGAAGGGTGAACATTTCACATTGCTGACAGAAGGTTTAATAATAAAACATTTTAAACGATATATGAGATGAATTAAAGGATTGATCTCGAAGCAGAAAATGGCGTAAATTTTCTTTCATCTTTATCTCACGATAACGAGAATTGGACTCCGGCAGCAAACCGGTTTCAATGACTGGCTTCATTTTCCAAAGTTACTCCGAAGTTTCGCGTTGCATTTCGCGGAGAATCTGGGAAAGAGATATTTAACGATATTTTACATGAGAGTACGCTGCCTGAATTTAGCAATTATTCGCGGTTAAATTATTTCACATTTCCGTTCCGCTACAATCGCACGCGATTAATTCGAGGAGCCCGCATGTTATATGGTGTTTAAAGCTCCGTTATACAAGCGGATGTTCCACGCGGCAGAAATTGATTAGCCTCGGTATCCTGTCATGGCTCGGCGGCATCCGAACGAAATAATCGTCTTAAAATCGCTCCAAATCGCAGACTAGATCGCGATCAACCTCGGAAAGAAATAACCGACGATAATAAATGATATTCGCACGCGATACGGCCGCGAACATAGGTAATGTTAGCTCAAAAGCGCTTTTGAATTCTCACATAACAGATAGTATCTCCATTTTGGCTATTCCGGAAATTTTAATTAAAACTTTGTCCGTTTGCTTGATTCTCGCCGCGAAGAAGTTTGGCGCAATCTCACAACTCTAATCCTAGAATAGTTCAGCAACTGACATTAATATAGTTGTGATGCATCTCAAGAGATGTTATGGCATCTAAGCAAGAATTTGTTTCCTTTGAAATAAGTCTCGTTACAACTTTATCTGAATTATATATATTTGATTTTGTAGTACCATGTATAAAATTTTGCGAGAAAGAGAAGTGTTTGATGAAGTATTGGTAAATTTGAAATTATTTGAAGTTTTTTTTATTTTAATACTTTTTTATTTTAGATTTTTAAATATATTCTTACCAGTTTCGGGTAAGAAACAGACTTTTTAGTTCTGACATTAACATTAAAGTGATATAAAGATGTTATAAGGAAAGAATGTTTTGCAGAAGTATGTAAAAATTTAGCTACATAAATACCTATAAAAATAATATTGTTGGATTAACACAAAAAAACTATATGTAAGACACTCAAGCTTAATGATTTGTAAACAGTTTAGACGTTCCATCCAACTTGAGCTTGAGCCATCCTACGTAATTATTTTCGTGGTCGAACAAAATTATTTTCTAACTAAATTTTTACGTATTTCAGCAAAATTATTATTTTCGTATAAATAAAAATTATTTTTTCTGAAGCACTTTGTTACCTTCATTATGTAATTTAATTTTGTAGTACAGCCTTTTTTTGATTATGTAATTTAATTTTGTAATATTATGCATGACATTTCGTGAATTAAATAAGGCGAATTTTTTAAACACTGAAAAATTAGAAATTTTTGAAAGTTATTTTTAATTCAATATGTTTTTGTTTTACATATTTGTAACATTTTAAAATAAACACTAATTTTTTATTTAGATTCAAATAAATTTTTCTACAAGTATAATTTATAGGTGGATGAGTAGTTGGTTAAATAATACATTTACTTCTTATAAAAATTTCCCAGTTATTCGGAACTGATAATAAAACACGTGTCTGTGCGGATAAAGTGGATAAACTATACTTTTCGTGTTGGGCACGATTCGAGTACTTTTCCTAGTGTTTACGAGGAACTTTAGTTTCCAAACAATACGTATAACAGGTTCTATATGTCACTTTGTATGATGAAAAGGAAATAATAATGAGAGATAAACTATATATGATCGATAATAACCAGAAGGCTTTGCCAAGGTCTGCTTACAGCAGACAACGCTATATCGACAACATTGACATTTTATCATGCAAAGTGGCTCGAGTGGTTTATCTTCCTTTATGCTGTTCTCTTACACGTGATATAATCGATCGAGTGGAGACCAGGGTTAAAAAAATTCCTTTCCATAATATATAGGTATCTTTCCCTGGCATTGAATTTTTTTACGACGGGAAAGAGGTATAATTTAAATTATAAAAAGTGTACGTCAATTATACATATAAGAAATCTTTCGTCTGTTAATTAACATAAATTTTTGACGTTCTAGAGGATTAAATCTGCAATTGTTTTAAAAAGTTAAAGAACAGATGTAACTTTTAAGAAGCTTATCGGGCTCTAACAGGTGAATCATGAATCGATAATCCTTTGTCAATAAATTGTTTAAAGACAACGTGAGATATTCCTTCGCGATAAAGATTCATTGATCGCTGCTGAGTTTTTATTCTTATATAATCATGATGAATCTACTGAGATACGTATGTCACGTATTGAATCAAAAATCGATCTGAGCAATAATTATAATACATTTTATGTAATAATAAACGTGTTATTGAAATTTGCCGTAACGTGCCTGAATCGAGTATGCTAAAATTGCTGTAATTACTGCGAAACAATTCTGCCATACATTTTTCACTTATCGCCGAAGCATGTCGGTTTCGAAATACCGATCGGTTACCCCAGACCGAATTTCGCTAGGTCAGAAATTAAAGTCGTGCAACAACATGACGTAATTTATCACGCAATATTAAACGATAAACAAATGTAAAATTTAGAGTGCAATTTATTCTTATCGCTACAAATGTTTTACTTTCAAGTATCAAATTAATCAATCGAAAGCAAATTAATTAATTATAATCAAAGAATTTTTCAATGCATTTATAACATTATAAACTTGTTATCAAAGAATTATTATATAGTTATAAACTAATAATTTTAAATCTGTAAATGAATCTACGATTATTTTTTTAATTATCTACTTTATTAAAAACTCATTTTCATCGTAGAAATAATTAATCTTGTTGATTTCAAGAAAAACAGTTTTGCGATGTTATATACATATATTATGTATGTAGAAATGTATATTTTAAATCTAAAGGATTAAATGAACGGGGCGACCTATTAATATTTCGTTTTAGATAATTTCCTATCTTTTTAAGATACGGAATTGTCGTTGAATTAAATTTTAATCAGAGTTTCAAACGAGTTTCTCGCACGAGACGCGACCGGGCCGGTTTCTTGCGCTCGTTCGCACGAGTGGCATTGACTTTTCCGCGTATTTCCGATGACTCGAGAGAGGAAAGGCACAGCACGTTTCACCACGTCTGTTTGTCCACGTATGATTTCGTCGTAGGTGCCTCCTCTTCCGAGACCGCGCGCTGTTCCGCTCAGGTTTATCATTCGTGGAAGGTGCGTGACGTACTCCACGAGAGAATTCTTGAGGCGGACCTTATCGATTGTTTCGAAAGCCAATGTTAAACAAGGCGACACCTCGTGCGCGACGGTACTCGCGGAGATATACGGTCGCAATCGTGCGGAACGTAGATCGTAATAATTATCCTATTGAGTCATTCACCGACGAGTTTTTGATTCAGTCAACGCTGCTTTTTCATCGAAAAAATGCGCTAGTTTACGGTAAAAAATTACTGCAAACCGAATTAGTTGTTTCTTATGGATTTTTGAATAAAAAATTGAGTTTAATGTTCAAAAATGGCTTCTTTAAACGATATTTGACATTTTTTTTGTAAAGAAGGTTATTTTAAATTTTCA